ATACCCTGCTCTTCATCAGGTTCTACAGTTATATATCCATCCGTAATAGTGAATGAATGAATTAGTGTTATTAACAGCAACATTAATGTTGTTTAAATAACATCGAATCAATAATTATAATAATATCAGTGGATTACAGTTCGATAGCATCAACATAACAATACACCCTGAATATCAGAAAAATTAGGAAAAGTAACGATAATACAAATTCATGAATTTATGGTCTCCACTGAAGACTAGGGTAGGACAGTAGTAGTAGTGGTGGCTAGGTGGACTCGCTTCTTCTGTACACAAAGCACTGGTTGTCTCAGACGAATCGCAATAGCCTCTGCTGTTTGGAGTATGCGGTACCTGGATTTTTTTGGCAATTTACTTGGTACCCGGTAGATGATGGAGAAGGACTCTTCAATGCCGGCTTTGTGGCCGGTTTGAAGCAGGTGTTCTAATACAGAGCTTTTGATGCTCCTCTTACACCTCTACTTAACCACACATCTACATGTTCCCAGAAGGAAGAAACCAAATTTCTAGAGCAACGGCCAATATAACTTGCTTCACCACAAGCACAGTTGAATTGGTAGATGGAATTAGAAGTGGCTAGCTGGTCCAGGTACTTCATCTTTCAACTGGGAAATGACCATCGGTCGTGTAGAGAATAAGACGCGTAGTTAGCCGGCATTAAAAGTTCTTTGAACTGATTTTTTTAACTTCTTCGTAATTATTTCACTCGGTACATCACTCTTCAATTGCTGTCGTATTTATTAAGTATTAAAAGTCAATCTGAACGAAGAATATTCTTCTCAATAATTTCTCCTCTTCAAGTTCTCACAATTATAAAATATAATATATTTGTTGCCGTTACAATAACGACCAGTTAGTTATGCGGCGGATAGATTTTTTAACGTAGAATAACAGATTAGCAGTTATGGGATGTCAAAATAAATAGTTGTATTTGTGTGACAAACGTGCTAGGTTGAAATCTATTACAAAATTTTGTGAAACAGGAGACAGTGGTGGTGATTAGTCATAATAGATACGTAGAATGTGGGTTACGAAAGATTGACAAGTCAGTTCAAGGTTATAAAGCGTGTCAGGTGAGTGAGTGCCTAGTACAAAGTAGGATGTATTAAAGAGGAGATAGTAAGACTGTAATGAGAGGTTCATCATGAAATAACGAATGTATGAGATGAAACAGGTGGAGGCATATATTGAGAAAAGAGATGATATCACTAATAATAAGTCCGGATAGTATAAATGGAAAATTCGATAGTATTGAGAGAATGTTTGAATAAAGGGTATAAATTATAACGAATAATATTAATAATTGTCATAATAAACAACGCAAGAGAAAAAGAACAAGAGAGTTAAGGGCAAGAAACACTCTTGGTGAGAAGAAGAAAAATCATCAATCGAAGTTTGGCCAGGGTAGTAACAGCGTCTGAACCTGTTCTATTTTTCTATACAAAGTTCCGGTCTAGTCGATCTTATTGCAACAGCTTCAGCTATGTGTAGGAGACGTATGCGAAATGTACATGATGACGACTTCGGAATTTGGTGTATATAACCCTGAAAGCTGTGTGTATACAGGCTTCTTGTTTACGCCGAAAAAGTTGCCACGATCAGTTTTGATCACCATTACCCTGTTATATTACTTTTTGTTTTTGCTGTTTTGCCGTTAGGACCCCTTTTTGCAGATATCTATATGTAGTGCATTGAGAGTCTATCGGAGGATTGAATCAAAAATGTGCCTACCACTGTATAGAAGGTATGTAGATGATACTGTAATCATAAGTGATAAGCGATGTTCTGCCACCTCACTTTTAAATCGAATGAATGAAGTTCACAATAGCATATCACTTAAATATGTCTGTAGTAGAGGAAGATAACTGTTTATCTTTCCTAGACATATTGCTTAGTCGACGACTTGATGGGTCAATAAAACGATCTATTTATAGAGAACCTACCTGGACAGGATAGTATCTTAATTACCACAGTTTATGCAATGTTCGGTGCAAAAGAGCCTTAGTGAGTGAGGTGCCTCTTCAGTAGAATCCAACGAGTATGCACTGAAGACAGACACATTTGATGAAGAAGAAAGAAAGTTGACACAAACTCTAGTTGATAACAATTAGCCAGACAAGTCCATCAGGAGATATAAAGTAGTCAGGGGGACACCAAGACCCACTCTCTAACTCGCCACCAAGAAAGACGTGTACATCAAGCTACCCTATATGGGACATCAGAGCAGCTTGACAACTAGACAAAGATTGAACGCTGATGTGGATAAAAACACTTTTAATGCAGCTAATATCATAATAATTGACAATGTGAAGCCAATATATCCACCCATCCATCTAAGCCCTTTAAACATGCGAAAAATTACGTCACATCCCACTGTATTTACTAATTTGAATGTACGTGTGAACACGCATATAGGGAGGACTCATCGATCTCTGCAAGCGAGTAAGGGCTGGCTTCACGGCATATTTTCCTGAATGGTTCCAGAAGCAAAAAGAATCCTCAGAACCCATTAATGGTGAGAAAAGGAGACGACATTGCTCCTCTATTGCCAAACATATTATGGAGACAGGACATAGAACTGATACTTACACAACTTTCAAACATATCTATAAGATGTGTTTGGGAGAGGGCGTATCCTAAGGTTTGTGGAAGCCCTAGCTGTCAATTAGGAATTTTAAACCACCTTTATGAGTTCAAAGCAACAATCTGTCATCACACTAAACCTACCGTCTTTGGTAAACTTTGTTTCGATACCAGTCAGGGTAGATGTACTATTACCTCCCTTGATTTGGTTTAGTGATTGATCTTCGTTTTTATTTTGACCTTCAATATATCCTTTTAACTTGACCTAAGTCTATTTTCTCACCTCTTAACTCTTTATTAATTTAAAATATGTGTATTTCTATGACAAGTCCGTGTGTGTTTGATCAGATTGTTCGAAATGTGTTGCGTAAATACGCAACACACACTGCAGACAAATTACGTCTTCTTATTGCTTTGTCTGTCTAAATTCATAAAGGGAACTAATTATTTTTGCTGTTATTGAGTAAGTTATATGCAACAATATTGTACCGAATGCTGAAAATTCCACACTATAGCATAAAATACTGTTTTAAGAATAAAGAAAATTATTATTACTATTATTATTATCTCCAATGATTTTCCTGATTGTGGTAGACTGGATAATGTGACAGACAGCGGGCTGGGCAACGAGGAAACAGGCATAAAATGGAACCACACAAAATACGTGGAGTATCTGATATATGTCTGATCTCCCACAAACTGGAAGATATGCAAGTGATGAAAAGCCACAAGTTGTTGATAGAAGAAGCATCCAGAGAAGATAGGATATCAGGTGAATCTACAAAAGGCAGAGTTGATGAAGATTCCAACCAACCAACAGCAGCAGCAACAACAACAGACAGCAATCAGCATAAATGGGAGAAATGTGAAAGAAGCGACCTCCTTTACCTACCTACCTACCTACCTAGCTACCCATCTAGGAAGCATCGTTTCAAATACAGGCCGACGGAAGTGATAAGCATATCAAAGCAGCAAGAATCGGAAAAGCAAGACAAGCTTTCACTACTCTCATCAAGTCTGTGTGGAGATCAACACTGCACTCAGCATGGAAATGAAAATAACATCCGGATTTTCAACTCCAACGTGAAGTCAATGCTACTTGCTATACATACGGGTCAGAGACTTGGCGCTGCGCCACGTCACAAACGGCACTTCAAACAAACTACAGATCTTCATCAACAGCCAGCTGTCTTCGCTCAATACTACTCAAGATGATATGGCCAGCCAGAAAAGATCAGCAACAGAGTGGGATCTCTGGGAGCGAACCAACACAACAGGAACCAAGTGTGCAACAATTATGCATATTCGAGGAAACCATCAAATGACATCACTAGACAAGCCCTCTAGTGGAACCCGAAGAGGGAAGCGGCGAGTTGGTCGTCAGTGCGAGTATGGAGTGACATGGAGGGTCATGTGAAGTGGAGATGAAAGAATATGGGTGGCAGACATGAAGCCAGGCAGCAAAAACGTTGTCAGAGAACCGAAGGCAATGGAGACATTCGGCTGAAGCCCTATGTTCCTCTAGGAATTAAAGAAAACAATAATAATTATTATATATATATTACTGATAATTAAATTATATTCAATGCCCCCGCCCCACCCTGCCACGCCCCGCCCACAGTGCTCAAGTTTTTATTCTTATATCAATTTTCCAACAACAACCAAATATATATATATATATACTCATCTCTCTTCTCTGATTGGTTAATGTATTTTAGATTTCTCAGAATGGTTGATTTCAACTCACTGTCTTTGTCTCTCAACACGCTAACACACTGTGAGTTCATATATATATATATATATATATATATATAAAATAGAAAACATAATCTGTGAATAAATAAATCACTTTAAAGGCGTGAAGTGAGACAGAAAAGCCTACTCATATTATTATTATCATTATTCTTATTATTATTACCGTTCTCAACTGGAGTACACTACACTACACTACACAACCACTTCTACTACTATTTGCTCACCACATTACAGATTCATATGATTTAACTTTTCATTGTGTGTGTACATACATATCATCTGCAAGTGTTTGTGTGTGAGTGTGTGTCATTGTGTGCATGTGTCCTTGAGAAGTCCCTCTCTCTATTATTATTAATATTGCATAATCAACATATTATGATTTGTATATTTATTTGTTTATTACGCAACACACAGAATTAAATGAGGAGTGTTTACTGATCGATTCAGAAATAAAAAAGAAAGGAGGGCCCACGAATTAATTCTGTTCCCAATATTTCAACGGATTATCCCTATTATTATTATCATTATCAATTACTATAATTATTACTAATATTATCATTACTAATTGAAATATTCAACAGAGAAGACGGAAAAGGATTATACGTTTTACGCATCAAAATTAGTATTGTTAATTGTCAAATTCAATGGGTTCAGGTAAGCACTATTTAACTATGCATATATGTTACGTAATATTGTGTGAAATTTAATAGCATAGAATTTATTATTATGATTATTGTTTCCTTTAATTCCTAGAGGAACATAGGTCTTCAGCCGTGCGTCTGCATTGCGTTCGATTCCCTGCTACAGTCTTCACCTGGCTCCAAGTCTGCCCACACGTTTTCATCTCCTCTTCACATGACCTCTTCCATGTCACCCTCACATTGACGACCAACTCGCCGCTTTCCTTTCGGGTTCCACTAGAGCTATGGCCTGTCTAGTGATGTCACTTGATGGTTTCCTCAGAGTATGGCCTCGAATTCACCTCCATTTCTTCCTGATTATTTGTTTCACAATCGGTTCCTGATGGGTTGGTTCGTCCCAGAGATCTCTGTTGCTGATCTTTTCTGACCATCTGATCTTGAGTAGTATTGAGCGAAGACAACTGTTAATGAAGGTCTGTAGTTTGTTTGAGATGCTCTTTATGACGCACAATGCAAGTCTCTGATCCGTATAGTAAGTAGCACTGACTTCACATTGGAGTTGAAAATCCGGATCTCATTTTTGATGCTGAGTGGTGTTGACCTCTACACAGACTTGAGAGTAGTGAAAGCTTGTCTTGCTTTTCCGATTCTTGCTTTGATATCCTCTTCAGCTCCTTCCGCTTGTAGTTGAAACGATGCTTCCCAGGTAGATGGGTGAAGGAGGTTGTTTCTTTCAGGTTCCTCCCATTTATGCTGTTTGTTGTCAGTTGTTGTTGTTGTTGCTGTTGGTGGTGTTTCCCAGGAATCTTCATCACCTCTGTTTTCTCTATGTTCACCTGAAATCCTATCTTTGATGCTTCTTCGACCGACAAATTGTTGCTTTTCGCTTGCAAATCTTCCATTTTGTGGGAAATCAGACATGTATCATCAGCGAAGTCCAGATCCTCCAAGTTTTAGCATAGAATTTAATGTTGTAAAAACGAATTGATGTAGAATGACAAGTGGAACGAGTGAAATAATACCGGGGACAGTTAAAAGTGAGAGTAGTAATAATAGTAACAATTGACGTAATAAGGAAGAGTATTCAAATTGAATAGACAAAATTAAGATCATGAAAGTTGGAGGGGTTGAACGAACTTTTCCGGTAAATGCAGAGTTCTGGCTTTTCTGTTTCGATAGCCAAAGATGGCTTCAGCAATACAGATGAGTCGAGTAAGGAGGGATTTGGGTAAATTACTCTTTGCCTTGTAGATGACTTTGAAGGCGGAGGTTATAGAGTGATAGGGTGATGACGTTATCGACCAGATGTTCGATGATCATGCTTCTGAATGCTCCACTTCCACCTTTTCATAAACATGCAGAGAGATAGTGTTCTGGCACCCTCTTGGACAAAACTCGAGTCGAACGACCGATATACATACCTAGCTCCACACGAGCAGGTGAATTGATAAACACATATAGAGTTGGTCAACAGCGGGATCTTGCCCTTCAGGTTACTGAACAGTAATGGTCGACTAGTAAAGGCTATTCTCAGAGATGCAGAAAGCAGGAAATGTTCTTTTTTTAGGGACTGTGATATCCTTCGTTTCATGATATCGGAAACTAAGCCCCCTTTGATTTCCAAGCTCATGTAAAGTATTTTCTTCGGTGTGGATGAATAGTCACGCTTTTTAGGATTTGAATGTATATTTTTATGTATAAAATGTGGTGGAAATCCATTTTCTACTAGGATTTTCCTCAAGATGTATAACTCATCTTCCACAGTATCAGGGCTACATATACGCCAGACCAGATTTCGTTTTCGACCAATGGGTACCCAGCTGTAGAAATTTGTCAGTTGACCATTCCATATATATGTATATATAATTACCATTCCTGTGGGTTCCAAGTGGAACATAACGACCTCAACAATAACTTTTCAGTTCATTTTGTTCTCCAAAGTCCTCTTCAGCTGATTATACAATTTCTCATAAGCCCTCACCTCGTTTACACACTGTCTCCTTTATGTTACCCTTGGACTCAGACCCGATTTATCGTTTCGATTCGGATTTCATTCGAGGGGCCGTCTGGAGAGTGATTTCAATTAACGGTCTCCTTAACATGTGTGTTCAATACATCGTCGTTTCATTTTGTCTATTTATTAGGCGATAAGTTCTTCATTGATTTGTTGCCTGACAGAATTCCTTGTCTAGATGACGAAGGCAACTGCTAGTAAACGTCTTCAGTAATGATTCTGTTAGAAAATGCTTTCTGTGATATGCACACTGGCTTACCAAATGCTTCTTATCGCCTGTAATTGAAAAGAAACTGTCAAGATAAGTGAAAGATAAGGTGACTCTCTCCAAATTTCTCCCTCTGATGATATTGATTGGTGCTTGTCTTCTCTTTGTTCACAATCGCGAATTTCATTGGTGAATATATGCATATATATGTATAATTGATAATAAGATGGATTCCTGGTGTCCATTTCATCCCTGATTTGAGTCTCGTACTGTGTTGACTTGCTCAAAATTCAGATATGAGTCAGAACACCCTCAAATCCAGACGTTAATGGAAAACAAAACACGTAGTTCAGCGAAGAGTCTCTATTTGGCGGCGAATTTATTCTCCTCTTTATCTGTACAATCACAATTATATAAATACACTTATTTTTGTATGTGGCTGTACACTGGGTTTGTCTCATTACTATTATTTCCTTTATTTCCTAGCGGGACATAGGGCTTCAGCCAAATGTCTCCATTGCGTTCGGTTCTCCGCCAAATTTTTCACCGCCTGGCTCCATGTCTGCCCACATGCTTTCATCTCCTCTTCACATGACCTCCTCCTCCATGTTACCCCCGCATTGACGACCAACTAACTCGCCGCTCCCTATTCAGGTTCCACCCGAGCGATGGCCTGGCGTGTGATGGATGTCACGTGATAGTCGTTTGTTTTCTAAGAGTATAGCCAGCCAATCTACATCCATTTCTTCCTGCATATTTGTTGTACAGTCGGTTCATGATGGGTTGGTTCGTTCATTATCAGAGATCCCTCCCTGCAAATTATCCATGAACGACTTCAGTGGGCCGTTCTCAAGGCTAGACATGAAGCATTCTGCTAGAAATGGACCCAAGGGAGATCCAAATGCAATACCGTCCTTTCGTCTATAGATGATGTCATTGGAAGTAAATTGTACATTGACAGTACATCTCAGTAGAAGTTCTTTCAGACATGTTGTTGGTATTCCAATGTTGAGCTGATTGTCATCTATGTATTTACATATAAACCAGACAGTTTCATTAAGTGGGACATTGGTGAACAGTAATTCAATGTCAAAGGATTACATACTTTTGTTAGCAATATTCATATCTTGTATGTGGTCGACGAGATGGAAGGTATCACGAAAGACAAACCTAATGTACATGCATGCACACACATACAAAAATAAGTAAATATGTAATTGCGATTGTACAGCTAAAGAGAAGAATGAGTTGGCCGCCGAAAAGAGACTCTTAGCTGAACTACGTGTTTCGTTTTCATTAATTTTTGATTCGTCAATTTATGGCTTAATTTTCTGAGGGCTTGATAAATAAAAGATTTAAAACAATTAGTTCCCTTTATGAATTTAGTTATACAAAGTAATAAGAAGACGTAATTTGTCTGAATCGTGTATTGTGTGTATTTGCGCAACACATTTCGAACAATCTGAGAAAATTGACTTAGGTCAAGTTAAAAGGACATATTGAAGGTCAAAATAACAATAAAGATCAATCACTAAACCAAATAACAGAGGTAATAGTACATCTACCCTGCCTGGTATCAAAACAAAGTTTATCAAGGACGGTAGGTTTAGTGTGATGACGAATTGTTGCTTTGAGCGCATAAAGGTGGTCTAAACTTCCTAATTGCCAGCTAGTGCTTCCACAAACTTTAGGATACGCCCTCCTTTAAATACGTTTTATAGATAGGTTTAAAAGATATGTTAACGTCAGTTTTCTGTCCTGTCTCTATAATAAGTTTCGCAATAGAGGAGCAATATCGTCTCCTGTTCTCACCAGCAATGGGTTTTGGGGATTCTGTTCGCTTCTGGAGCCATTTAGGAATACGCTCTGAAGCCAGCTGTTACTTGCAGAGATCGATGAGTCTTCCCCATGTATTTATGGGGCCACACGTACATTCAAACTGGTAAATAAAAGATCTATTTAACACAAAATAATTGAGCAAAGAATATCCTTTTCGATAATTTCCTCTTCTCGTTCGACAATTATATGAGTATATTTTTATATACATAGAATATTCCAGATTAGTAGTCAGTAACAATATTAGTGTTTTTTAAAATAATATGGATTTGTAAAGTAAGACCACAATGGAATTATAGTTCATTAAAGATGCTTAAATTATAATAATAATAAAGATATAATAGCAAATAGAATATCAACTAAAATTAGGGAAATTTCTACGAAAAATTGAGGATTATTCGAACCGAGACGGTCAAGGTAAGGACAATGTCTAAACTGGCTTCTTTTGGACACATAAATTAGACTTCTTAATGTGGATCCCAACAGCCAGCCTCAGCAATATTTAGTAGTCGAACTCTTAAGGCGAAGTTAAGATTTGTTGGTTGGTATGCGGTAAATGACTTTAAAAGCTGCCTCGTTGACATCAATCTTGTGTTCTGTATGCACAAGATGAGATAGAATAGAGGTACAAAAAGATTTTGTTTGTCCTTTACTTAGCCACTTTTCAGGGTGATGTTGGTAAATCCAACGAGAAACACGCCTAATTGTGTGGCCTATGTGTGTGGAGCCAGTTACACAGGCCACACAAGATTGATGTCAATTAGGCTTTCAGAGTCATTTACCGCATACCAACCAACAAATCTTAACTTCGCCTTAAGAGTTCGTCCACTAAATATTGCTGAGGCTGGCTGTTGGGATCCACATTAAGAAGCCTAATTTATGCGTCCAAAAGAAGCTAGTTCAGACATTATCCTTACCTTAGCCATCTAGGTTTGAATGATCCTCAATTTTTGGG